TAATACAACTTAGTGTCACGATACAGAAGGCAAGTGGGAAACAGTACATGACTGCATGTTCAGAGTCTATTGAATAGTTAATGTATAGGTACATTAGTTTTACAAATGACCAATGAATGGGGACCGGATCCACCACAATAGTGTGTTGCGATGTATAATGTATGGTTTAAACGCAAACAATACTAGTCTTTTCTTGTAAGGGTGGTCTATGTAGCACGGACACGGATCCAACACGGCCATCCGACAAGCCGACACGAGGCAAATCCTAAAAAATACATAGGATACGTGTGTTCGACACGTGTGTCCGACACGGACACGACACGACACGGCTTCATGTTATGCGTGTTTGTGCTTCATAGAGGGTGGTGACAGCTAGATAATAGTCTCTAAACTACTTTTGCACTACTAGTAACAAAAATTTGAGGTCCTTGATGACTCGTGAATTTTGATAGCAATTCATGAGGAAGGACACCATACTTTTGCTTCAAGTATTACAAAAAGTAGTTTAGGGATTGTAGGGTAATTAGTATTATCCTTCTTGTTAATATAATAATATCCGATTGTGAAATGACAGCTGGTTTGCAAACTAATGCTTTATAGGTATGGATCCTATCGCCAAAAGGTTTATGTGGGACGTCATATCTCGGTTATCTACTAGGCGAGGAAAGACAGCTGTTATACTAACAACACACAGCATGGATGAAGCTCAGGCTCTCTGCACAAGGATTGGAATTATGGTAGTTCACAATAAACACACTGATTTAATAGCCAAGGAAATTAAATGGCCTATGGAACTTGATATATTTGTTTTCCTCCCCCTCTTTCAAGGTGGGTGGCCAACTCAGATGCATTGGGAGCCCGCAGCATCTTAAAACACGTTTTGGGAATCATCTTGAGCTTGAGGTAATTTCTGGGTTTTTGTGATTTGGTTTCTCATATTTGTTATACTAATTGCTTTTCCATTTCAGGTAAAACCCACAGAGATCAGTCCCATTCAGATAGATACTCTTTGTAGAAGAATACAAGAAACCCTTTTTGACTTTCCAAGTAGTACGCGAAGCATACTCGGTGACCTTGAAATTTGCATTGGTGGGATTGACTCATTATCATCAAATTGTCTATCAGAAATCAGTTTAACACGGGAAATGATAATTTTAGCTGCGCGTATGCTGGGAAATGAAGAATCCGTTTTGACACTTGTATCGTCTAATCCTGTTACTGATGGTGCTTTTGGTGAACAATTGTCAGAGCAACTTATTCGACATGGTAATACAAACTTCGTATCTCATAACTTGTCTATTTGGATTGGAACATCTAATTGTTTGGAGCATGTTTAGCAACTGGTTATATTGGCATTAATTTCTCGTGGTGGTTCATTTAGGTCTTACTCTTGAATGCTTGTCGATTCTCATGTTCTATCATTTTCTACTATTTGGCCTCATGGGATAAGCTAAGTGGAAGTGGCAATTTCTCTGTTAATTAAATTAAAAAAGATTACTATTGAGGAATTAAACTTTATGGTCTAAAAGGAGCCACCAGTCACCAAAGGCTTTCAAAATATCAGGTTGGGCAAGTGAGACCGCTTTGACTCTGCCCCTTATTTGCTCTGTTATTTATTTCCTATCATGTGATTGCTTTGGGACTTTATTTGTTTATGAGATTATTTTCTGCTTTCATATTTGTGATTTCATGTTGCAGTCTATCCTCTTGTTTTTGTCTACTAAAGAGACGTCAAGTTATGCATACATGACATCATCTTAAAAGAATAGCTCAATAACTAAGCTAGATCGGAGTAAAGTTCTCAGAAAACTTGCTTAAATTCACTTTGCTGAAACTTGTATTTTTTTCTCCTTTCTTTTTGCCTTTTAATATATGTGGCTTCTTGATTCTTTAAACGGGAATCTGAATAATTTGACATATGAATTTTTTCAAAATTTCTGATGAACTTTTGAATATAGGATCTCCTAAATTTTCCTGGTATTGGAGAGTTAATGCAAAGAAATGCCTTTTTTGTTTGCTTGAAGCAAACTGCATTTTTGTATGACTGTTTTGTATTTTCCTTGTATATTTTAATAGGTTTTATGCCTTCTTAAGTTGTGTTTGATTTTTTTTTTAAATCACGCCTTAGTAAGTTGTGTTTGATTTTTTATTATGTTTCTCTTGTTTATCTTCTTCACAGGTAGTATAGCTCTGAGAATATTTTCTGAATGGTGGCTGGCCAAGGAGAAGTTCTTGCATATTGATTCATTCATTCATTCTTCATTTCCTGGTGCAATATTTCACGGTTGTAATGGATTAAGTGTTAAATATCAGGTAATACGATTTCCATGACACTTCTTATAAAGTATCCTAAGATTATTGCTTCTGCAGTATTCTTCTTTTAATCCAACATTTCAGTATTATTCGGCATGCTCTACTAGGAGTTATCTACTCTTTGCTCATTCTGCTCATCCTACTAAATAAGATCTGCATATTACACAACTTGTTCAACTCTACCAGAAACTTGCTTTAAAGCAGAAAACAGGTCAAATAGTTACCTTTTTTAGTTGCACCTGATCATCCTTTTCTCACTGAGGTTTTAGTAGTGGTATAAAGTGGTAGGGGTGGTTATGAGAAGTCCTTCATATACTGAGTCCCAAGTTAATTTTTTGTTTATATTTTGCTAAGCTTAGTATTGGTTTTCGCTTTCTAGAAGTTCTAGTGTTTATTATTCAGTATATTTGACAAAACTACAGCTAGTGATGTAATGTTTCTACGATGAAAATGAATAAAAGAGCGAAAGGAAAAAAATGGATTGAAACACGGAAATCATACTAAGATGAGTGTCAGTTTGTTGCTCATTTATCCAAACCCTAACCACCAAGTCCCAAGTAAACCTGTGTTTCCAAGTTGCAAGTTTTTTATGCATTAACTTTTGAGGCTATTCTTGATGGTGCCATTAGTTAATCTAATCTCCATGAAAGTTGTTAAAACCCTCAACCCCATCAAAATCTCAAAGTTTGGGTATTGCGGAGTTGACTTTATGAGGGTATCAAAGCCATCCATGTTCAAGTCTCGTCGAGAATATATTTTTAGAAAAGGCATGGCTGTGTAAAAGAGCCCAGGTTTCAGCCCATGAAAAGAGCACTCAACCTGTTGGTCATGTTAGAATATAAATCTAACCTTCAATCTTCACCAAAATTAGGGGTGGACATGTTATAAAATATAAAATTATAACCTTCAATCCTCACCAATATTTCAGGGTGTTGGTGTAGTGGAAGGGGATTTTAAGCAAAATAATGGCATAAGTAAAACACACATTCTATAAGAGGAATCTGAATAGGGCATGTACTGTACCCGCAGCTATTTGTTTCTGCAGGTTATTAGCCAACTTTCACTCTGGATTTTTCTGCCAGTAAGAATTATTTTCACTTAATGGTTGCTTGATCCGCATTGGCATTATCTAGCTGTTTAGGTTGCTTTTCTGCTGCTAAGCTTGCCATTTTTTTTCCTTCTCATCCTGATCTGAAACCATCTCCAATACTGTGTTTCAGTTACCGTATGGGGAAGGTTCCTCTCTTGCGGACATATTTGGACATGTGGAGCATAATCGGTATCACTGTTGTTCCTTTTTTGCATCCTTTATTTTCTTACTCCCTACCTGTAAATCCTGCTAACCATTTTGCTGAACTACTGCTTAGGGCTGAACTAGGGATTGAAGAATACAGCATCAGTCAGTCCACACTAGAGACTATCTTTAACCATTTTGCTGGAATGCCATGAGCACAACATTTTTGTTGCTGAATTTTGATCTATTATTTGGTCATTTATCTTTAGAGCAAAGAATGATATACAAAGAGGTTTTTTGTGAGAATCGATAAAGCAGAGAATCATACACAGGGCCTGGAATGGCGTTCGGTGTGAAATTTGCAAGGTTGCTGCAGATTCAAATTGGGTGCTGTTGATGTTTGCCTTGGTTGCACACAACCGCACAAGGTTTCTTTAGACTGTCCCTTTTCTTTTATGGAAAATTAGGCTTCTTTTTTCTTCTTCATGTTTCCTTACCTGTTGGCGAGAGTTGAGTCTGTGTATATTGGTTAGGAGCAGTATATATGTATTTGTACATAGATACAAGTCTTCTTGTATAAACATGCTTGGTGACATAAGTGATTTGTAATTAAAAACTGATTTGGAAGTTACGTGGAGCTGACTTGATGTGTATAATTTCGGGGATGAAGATGAAGCTTCAACAAGTTACATCATGTATGGGATATAAGTTCCCAACTACTTAAAAATTAGTATAGTTTTAAGTATTGGATGTCAAGAAAATATTGGACGATTAAATTTCATATCATATCAGGTTGTGGATATCAGGGGTATGTTGAGCCTATGTAATAAATATTGGAGTGCTATATCGAATGATGTGTATATATAATATAATGTCTTAAAATATAATCTAAACATACTTAATCTGAAAAACATAAATAATATATGTTTAGAATCGCTAAGCAATTGTAGAAACTTACTAGAGAATTCACATGGATGGAATTTTTCTAAAAAGCATTACTGAAATTTTTTAGAACTATATTGCTTTGTAACAAGCTATATAAAAGGATATATTGGTCAATATATTGGTTGATATATCAGTCATGGGGATAATATTACCCAAAAATTGTCAAAAGGATAAAGGATATTAAGAGCATATTGCTTCGCAGAAAGTCTTATAAAATAATATATCAATGGATATATGAGGCTACATTGGTCATATTTAAAACAATGTTACTAAACCAGATAAGCTACTCTTGTCATTGTTTTGAGTTTTGGATGGATAGCGTTTGAGTTGGCTACATCGGTCATATTTAAAACAATGTTAATAAGCCAGATAACTACCCTTGTCATTGTTTTGAGTTTTGGATGGATGGCGTTTAACTTTGAACGACCAGAGGTCAAGCTATACTCGAGTAAGACCTCACAAGTTTGTTGTGCTTGTCTCGGCAATGTTCGACTAGGATTTGAATTGGACCCCTCGTCAAGAATTGGCAAGAATATGAAAGTTAGTAATATTTGGATACAGGATGAACTATTATGTTAATGCTCACATACTATTTCAAGAGAGCTATTTGTAACGGATTCAAATTCTCTTATTTTTTGGTGGTGAACAGGCCATTAATGTTACTTACGATTTGTTTAAAAGAATGGGCGCAATTCATGTGGAGTATGATGAGTGCTAAATTCAAAAGGGTTAAATACATAATCCCCATGAACTACTGGAGAGTTACAGTAAACTCACATCAACTTTTTTTTGTTACACTAAAACCCTTGAACTCTAGGAGTTGTTGCACATGATCCCATGAACTATTTTATTTCACTACATTTCATATAAAAATTTCTCATTTAATCTCAAATTATCATCATTAATTTTAGGAGAATTTAAAAAAAAAACCTTTTAAAAAATAATTGGCAAAAACGATCTTTTTGTTAATTAGCAAAATCAACCTCTTTTTGGCCAGCTCAGCAAAGCTTGCCAAAAAGAGGTTGATTTTGTAAAATACGGTCTTGAAAACACACAGAACTACTAGTTCCGTGTGTCTAGCGCTCACTAATCAGCATCTAAACACCACACAGAAAACGCACGGGACTAGTAGTCCCATGCGTTATATAGTTAGATCCCTACCACCATAGAAAAACACACAGGATTATTAGTCCGGTGTGTTAAGCAGACACTTCCGCTACAGCCCAACAAATACATGGAAGACTGAATGTTGAAATGAATAATATGCCTATATATAAGGGAGGATCTAGAAAAATGTTCATGTTGTCTAAAACATGCAACTTCGATGGAATTTGTGATTGTCTAATAAATGAAAAAAGAACAATTGCTATAGAGAGATCACCAATAATGAATAAATAATTGACATGATACAACTTGTAGAAAAGCAAATCTCAATTGAGTTGTTCATTAAAAAGTTTCTAATATCCAGTGTTGCCCAAGTTTTGAATGCTTTGGGAGAGTTCTCCCGCATGCTTGACTTAGAAAATAACTCGAGTGAACTCATTTCATCTCCAATTACGGTGCACTTAGAAAATGACTCGAGTGAAATGGCATGGGCTCAACTAAAATATTTAAGCGGGCCTTCCCATCGTGCAACATCAAGTGATATGTTCCATAATGCTTCGGGTCATGTTACAGATAATTTACGGGGTTGTTCCATTGTGGAAGATAATGAGGATACATATGATGATTATAAAAATGTTGAAGAAGATGAATGACTTGATAGCATGCAGTGTGCACTTGGAGGGCATGATGAGGACACATGTTGGATGGATGAATATTGTGTAAACAACAATTCTACAGAGACTGAAGAATCATTGCCAGAAGAGTTTCAAAAAGAGGAGTGGACAAATGCCTCACAAGCTAAGTTTGTTTATGTTGGTTCTAATTTCGAACGACCCGAGGACTTCACTTTCAAAAAATGATACCTATTCAAAAATAAGCAACCGTTGGTTTTTGCTATACGTGAATGATCAATCAAGAATTGAGTAAAATTTAAGCTGGTGAAAACTAATACAACCAACTACCATGTAAAGTGTTGCTTCAACGAGAAAGCTCAAGGAGAGTATGCAAGTGCTCAAGATGAAAGAAATTCAAATTGTTCATGGAAGCTTAATGCAGCTGTTAGGAAAAAAAAATCTAATTGGCAATTTATGATCCCTAGTTATTGAGGACTTTACACATGTTGCAATCTGGTTGTCAATGTTGATCATAAGGTAGCAACTTCCTCTTATATCTTGAAGCTAATTATGTCCGAAGTAAGGAGAGAACTTGATTTGACTCCAGGTTAGATAATTACAAAGGAATACGATATGAGAAAAATAATTGTATCCAAATATAAGGCATATAATGCACGAAGGAATATGTTGAATAAAATCTTTGGAGATTGGGAGAAATCTTACGAATTACTTCTAGAATATCTTTAAGCGATTAAGAGGAAAAATCTGGGTACCAAATATGAAATATTGTCTAAAGAGATTACATCAGGAGTGGAGAGGTTTATGCGAGTATTTTGGGTATTTGGACCGGCTATCAAGGGGTTCTCATTTTATCGTCCACTCTTGAGTATTGATGACACACATTTATATGGTAAGTACAAAGGAGTGCTTTTGGTTGTGATTGGTAGAAGACACATCAAGTTGGAAGTGGTTTTTTCAATGTATTTACAGAATCATCACTACTGTTCAAAGTCCTGGAATGATTACTTTTATTTCTGACCGGATGAAATAAATTCTACAGACCTTGCATGATGATTTTGGAGGACCACATCATCATCGATATTATTTGAGGCATATAAGAGATAATTTAGGAAAAAACACAGAGAGATCAATTTATAAAATCTATTGTGGCAAGACGGGTGTGCAACCGACACATTAGCATATAAGCATTGTAGGGAGAAAATTAAGTCCCTGTCAGTTGAAGCACACAACTGGATTGAGCAAAATTTGAAGCCGCAATACGGAGATGATGGGCGTTATGTAAAGATGGTGAAGTGCGCTATTAAATGATGACAACTAACTGTTCTGAAGGTTTCAGTGGCGTACTTAAGGGTGCCTGAGCTATGCTAATTCAAGCCTTTGGTTGCAATGATGTTTTATAGGTTAAACACATACTTTAATAAAATACACAGTGATGGTGCAAGTTGGATGACAAGTTATGCTCTAAAAAAATGAGAGCATTCTGCAGAAAAGTATTATGGCTATAAGATCATGTAGAATTACTCCATTTAACGACAATTAATAGGAGATTAAAGATTGTGAAGGTACTTACACCTTTTTTGACTATGACCAGGAGTACAGTTGTACTTGTAATATATCACAATGATAAAAATTACCATGTGAACATGTTCTAGCAGCTAGTTCCAATCACGATGGTGGTGCTAGATTACTTTATGATCAGTATTGATTAGCTTGATATTCAACGAATCATTGCCGAAAGGCTTAACAAGGAGAGCTTTCATCCTCCAGATGATAGTCACTGCTAGTCTGTCGGGTTATAGCAGACCATGCTTATATTCGGACCTTTAAAGGCTTCGGTTCCACCATTCAAATGCCAACCTTGATGACCTGAAATCTTCCACGTGTTAAGAGATGATTATGCACTATGTTCATGAACTTTGAACTAGCTCAAATAACCAAGTTCTCAAATTGTACTCTGGCCAAATTCACCCACCCAAAATTGACTCAGATTAACAGATATAGGATCATTTAATGCTATTTTTTGTTATAAATCCTAGATTGTGTTAATGATAAAAGAGTTATTTCGCTATATGATTTCATAATGATTAATAAATGCAAGAGCACGCTTATTGCTAGATCATGTTATCATTCTTAGTGCCACAAGAGCCTTGTTTTTGTAGATTTAATACACCTTTCTCTAAAAAGTTTACTTGAATAAAACTTAATGTATTTTTTAATATGATATGTGGTTACCACTTCTCGAGGACTTCGACGCTTGCGGGACATTATCATAGGGTAGTGTTGTTTTAGCGTATCGGTATAGGAAAATGTCCAAAGTGGTTTTTAGGCAAAATAAAGAGCTCCAGGGGTGTATGACCTTATTACAAGTTTGGGCATGAGAGAGACTAGTTTGAAGTCAAAATTATGTGAGATATGAGTTTTAGATGGACAGATTCTACTGGGCCGCAGGTAAACAATTTCAAATATAATTAATGCAAACTTGATTTTGAATTATCGGGTATCAAATTTTAATTTAAAAAACATAATCTACTAATCTATTTCAAAGAGTTATTAATATGTGGAATATTTTCTAGTTCGAATGGTAGCCATACGGTAAGCACCTCCCTCATCTACCACTAATTTGCACACATGTACAAGGTATATGGAGAGTAAGAGTTTATCTCATATGCTTTGAGATTGTGGAGATGCATGTGTTGGATCGCGTGCTTAAATAGCACGTTGCACAAGAAGTTGAAAGAATTGAGAGAAAGGCCAACAAAGGTGGGCATTATATAAATTGGGAAAATGTGCATCATTAGTACATTAGTAGATGGAATGATTGGCATTTTAGTATCGTGGAGCAGATTGATCCTCCTCTGCATGAATTAGATTATATCAAATAGTATTGGAGGATTGCCAGAAGATGGATAATAAATCAGACCACAGCTCTAGTCGATGAACACGAACAACATGT